AATGTAGCCTGGTTATGGATCCAATGGCTACATGTGGAGGATGGACCAAAAATGATAAGGATAACAGGCTGAAAGTTGCAAAGCTAATTTATATTATATTTATACATTTTTAAGAAATAAGTCATGAAACAATGAGCTACAATATCCACATTTAAGCCTTAATGTATTAAAATAAAGAACCAGACACAGAGTAAATAATTTTATTCTTCAAAAACATTATCCACTAACACAGCATATAGTTAGGATTTAAGTTTTTTTGTTTTTCCACACTATTAAAAATGAAGGTTTAATGACCATACTCTTGGCATTAGAGACAGTAAACAGAAAATGAGGTCACTCTTCAAAGCTAATACAAGAATATAGCCAATAAACTTCAACTCAACAGGATTTTTTCAGTTTGCCTTTTTTTTTTGGGTTAGAAATGGGGAGGGATATCTTCCTCAAGGGTAAAAGAATCCTATTAAATACAGTGAAAACACACGCCCGCACACACCAACAAAAAAAAAAAAAAGGAACAAGTGGAAGAAAATGCTTTAGGGAAAGAAAGAAGAAAAGAAGGAATGGTAACAACCCAAGCCAATGCAAGTTAAAAATATATCACTCCACCTGACAAAAACATAGTGAAAGAAAAGTATCCTATTAGCTGTGTAGCCATCTCCTCTGATAAAATCAGACCACACTACAAAAAAATAAAGTAAATTTATATAATATCATTAACACGTGTACTGAAGAATTGTGTGATCATCTTTTACGAAAGACCCAGCCTAGCATCCATGGGTGATGCAATCAATCCTAACAGATGAAGAAAGACCAATAAATGAGAACTAGCTGGAGATAGTTAACCCTTCAATAAAATCAACACTCCTAGATTTAGCCCTACCCGCTTTCTTTGTCCTTTACTTTGCTGGCTTGGCAGAGTAGAGCTAGCATTCGCTTTAACACACCGTCTTCCTCAAAGTGCTTACCTTACTGGGCTTGAATTGCTTTTCTTGAGTTTGATCTTTGAATGAGATGAAAGCACTGCCTATTCTTTGACTTGTGAGTCCAACCTTTCACTATCCTCTCTTTAGCCACTTTAGCAAGGAATAAGGAATCCATTTGCTTTCCTCCACGCCCTATATACTCTCCTTCATATCAGAGCAACCGGCTAACCACTCGCTCCCTATCTGCTCTTCCTCTCTAGCTCCTTCTTATAGTATTAGGCCCTTGCTACTATATTGCTTCCTTGCAAGTCTTGGGATGAGAAAACAGTCAAGAAAAGCAGCTCGAAAAGGCCCTGAAGACCGCTTTGCAGCTAAAAGGACTTTATGCAATCCACTGAAATTGCACTTTTCCGGCATCACTGGAACAAAGAGTACACTACTTTCTTCCATGTAATGAATTCTAACAACCTCCCTCGAGAAGTTCTCAAGAATCTTATTCCAATACATGAAAGACCTTACCATCATAGGCCTAATAATTGAAGGAGTTCACAGTGAAAGAAGCTGAAAAAGCTAGTCTGAAAGCGCTCGAAAGAACATCCCATCTTTTTCAATGAAAGGACTCAAGAATGGAAGAAAGTGTTGAGTTGACTCAAGTGCCTTACTATTTATTATTTGTTGAAGTGAAAAGGTAACGTAATGAATCTAGTCTAGTAGCTCGGTATCCAGATGAGTATATATACGTAAAAGAAGAGCTCTTCCCCCTGGCTTTCGGGTCTAAACTCTGCTCTCCTCTACTTTGAATTAGGAATCATCATATTCTCCTTCCAGGATTGGAAAAAAATGTATTCATAAGGGCACCCAATATGTTAAAGGTCATATTGGTAATAATGTTTTTAAGTTCAAATATCACCACTATCGAAGGAATCTCTTAACAGCAATAACATCGGTAATATACAATGTTAATAACTCTAGTATCCACAGCATCTGACATCTATTAACTGTATTAATAAATGTTCAACTAATACAAAGCAACATACTACTCACCAATACAAAAGTTTGTATGCTCTTGTAGTTTCTCTACCAAATCCTTCACCTGTAAATAGGGTTAACAGCAACAATTTGTAAATACTTGAAAGCAGATGCTAGAATAATGTTGGATTGATATCATAAACTCAAAACTTTTGAGCCTTTGAGAAGAGTTTAATCTTTTTGTTTTTTGATAAATCCTTTTAGATGAGTTTAATCATTAATGAAACTCCAGTAAATGGTGGATTTGCAGTCAAAGAATGAACAAGTAAAAATCAGCATACATCCAAATATTGATATTTAGCAATACCAAACATGAGATATTCAGAAATTATTGCGATCATCACCAAAAAAATATTATAATTGATTTTGTATGAAAAGTCTAGCAATGCTATTTTCAATTATGCAATAAATTGTGGTCATCGTGGAGGCATTTTTTATTTTTTTTTTCTCTCTCTCTATAAATAGAAGAAAATGGAAGTACAACGAGAAATGCTGACAATGAACCCCAAAAAAAAAAAAAGTATACTGAAGTAAAAGAAAATGGAAGTGACCAGAAATTTAAATTATCAAATAGTACAATAAGAAAGAAAAGAAAAGAAAAGAAAAGAAAAGAATGTGTACAATAAGAAAGAAAAGAAATTTAAATTGTCACATTATTATTGTTCTAATATTAATGTGCTAAGATGGGAGGGTTTGTTACACACTCAACCCATTCATCATATTCTTTTATCTTTGCTTCTTTCTTCTCTTCTCTCTTCCTTTTCTAACCTTAATCCTAATCAAATAGATTTTACACTTTAACTAATTTCAATTTTTGTTTCTTGAAGAATTAGCACATCCAGACAATTTTTTAAACAAAAATTTATTTGACTACACCCGTCTTCTTGGACCTAATTCCTCTCACATTCCAACTAATGATCATCATTTGGAAACATACTTAACCCTACCCTCCTTTGACCCCTCTCTCTCCCACATTGCATCTAATTTTTCTGAGTCTCTCTTCTTCTACTTGTCATCCGTGTATCCAGAATGGGTACGCAAACGACAAAAAATGGGGATACAACCAAACACGTGTCAATACATGCCAATGTGTGTCAAATGCATGTCCGACCCATGTTAACATGCATGTCTCCCTAGGAGCCATGTTAGTGCTTCTTAGAACTGAACAATGGCCAAGGCATCACAATTTGTACTTCCTCAAACAAATAGGCATAGTGATTAACAATAAAAATAAAAATAAATAAATAAGAGGGAGAGAAAAACCTAAAACCCATCCACAACATGTATAAGTTGAATGCAACGCAATAGAATAATTAAATAACATGCAAACTCAAAACAAATGCCTTGAATATTATGAACTACTTCCATATGACTACAAAGTGTCATATTCCTCTATTTAAAATCATGAAGAGACGATAAGGAAAAAGGAAGAATAAAAGTGAATTCTTGTTATGCACTTTCTTAAAATTTTCATAGGAGAAGAGCATAAGAAATCAGTTCGCAAGAAAACCCAACCTCATCTTTGCGCCTTCTTCCTTCAAAGCTGAAGGGTTTGAGAATGATGCCAACAGCCAATCCATTTGCAGATTTTACTCTCTTAAGAATATCAGCCACTCTCATGTGATCCGAGCCATAAGCTGCACTAGCCACCTTCAAAAACAGAAAATGAAATAAATTGATATTATCCATTTGTAATTAGGTATTGGGGTGGTTAATCTCTAAATGAATCAACTTTTGGATTTCATAGTCTTCAAGTCAAGGAAGATGTATAGGCCATTTCAGTATATATATATTTTTCTTTTTATATAAGGGGCATCACCTTTTGATGGCAAATTTAATATACTTAACAAAAAGAAAAGAGCCCATTCCAATTTTCCCAAAGTACTAGGTACCGCTGAGATAAAAAAGCAATTAAGCACCTTTTGCAATCTCAAGGTCCCCTCAAACTCCCCAGTAAAACCATTAAGCCCTCTTCCATAATGGACGACAACATGATAAATCACAAATCCCACATTGATTTTCATCAAATTTCCAGTTTGCTGGCTTCAGATAAATATCCGTACATAACGGAATGTTGACTGTAATTTGATATTATTTGCTAATGCAAGATCTATTTGCACCATCCTTACTACATCATATTCTACATTTATAAAGTTTTTCCTGATAGTATATATCAAAAAATAATATAGTAATTACAAGAGTAAGAAGTAAGGAAAGTACAAACAAGTATAACTGCTTTGGAACGTGACTGAAAGGCTAATGGAGCTTCCACAGCCATTGGCGCGATATCTGCAAAGAAACATAAGAGAAGAAGTATTAGAAACAATTTCATTAAAAGAAGCAAGAGAAAGTTGAGAGAAGTCCACAAAAATGCTTGGGTGTCAAATCAAAAGATCATATGAGATATTTAACTTGAAATAGGTTAACATATTTGTGAAGCACATACATTATACACAATATTTTATGATGTTGGGATCCCATCCTAAACACCGTAATGCTCAAGTGAATCCCATAAAAGGCTTAAAAAAAGCAATCTAAAGCTCTTAACTTGTGCCAATTGACAAAGTTTAATCCTAGCAATAAAAATACTAAAGATGCAGTAATTAGTAGAAGAAGACAAGTCTCAAGAAAACTAAAAATATCATTTTAGCAATCCAATTTGCTTGAATTTCTGCATTCTCTAGTTTCCTTTTAGGTTTTTTTTTTATAATTTCATTTGAAAATTGGTTAAGAATCTTTTCATGAGTTGCAATCCCACCAATTGTGTTTACAAATTAATTATTTTTCAGGGTTTTGATTCTTTTATTGTTTCTATATTTGATGAGCAATTTGTAAAAAGTTTCTTTGTCCTTAGGGTTTTCTGGTATAAAAGACCTTTTGTTGTATCACGAATTTAGAATTGGAATGCAACGCCCCACCGCCTGCTGGCTCAAGACACTGATTATTTGCAACCCTAATAGTGGATTTAACTCTGTCCTCCATAGACATTGGCCAATTGTCAAACAGCATGAATTCTTGCTTCCCTTTATATGATTGTGGTTTTTCTTCACTGCTTTGCTTTCACACTTGACCCAACACATATGCATGACACAAGTCAATGAAGAAAACGTTTAATTTAATCGGCTACATTGTTGTCCTCCGACAAACTAATTTCTTCGTTATTAAATGTAGTGGTACACCACCACTCAGTGACACCTACTTTTACTATCTTGTTAACGTGGAAAGACTTCAATAATGCTTTGATTGAAGGAGTTACAAGAAAACAAAAATGCCAAATCAAGAATAGATGAATTTGAGATATAACTACGGACACTTGCAAAGTTGTAATGCAAAAACTTAACCTTTTCCAGAGAACCTTTGTTGTAACTGGACCTTCATTGAATCTTTAATTAGAATATTCCTGCAATATAGTTAACTTAATAAACAAAAACAGATGCATGATGGCTGCCTAACAAATGTTCAAACTCATCATAAATAGTTGTAGAATGGATGTTGATTAAAGGCATTAAAGCAACATAAACCACAAAGCCAAATTGAAACATCCTTTTTGAAAATATCGTGAGAGCTTGATGATAATCAATTGCATTAAGAGACTAATTGCATTAAGAGACTAACAAAGTTTTGCTACCAAAGGCACCACACAAAATAAATTCAGTAACGTAGACTTGCTAGTTTTGTGCCTCTAAATTTAAAAGATCATTGCTCTATGCATGGAGGGAATTGCATTCTTTCATATAAACTGTAATTTTCATTGAACTTTAGTCACTTTAAAGCATAATCAAGTTACACAGTTCATAGAAATCTATATTACTTAAAAACCAAAACATTGCAAATAGGTATACCAAGTCTTAAATTTCATCCAGCACTTATCAGAAACATGAAATCATTCTAAAAAAATATGGAGCAAAAACGGGTATGAGCTCAAATTTGAAGATTTTTAAGCTATATCATATATGTTTATATATATATTTATATATTTTGGGTAAGTTTTAAGCTATATGTTATTTGAGCACTTGTCATGGAAATCAAAAATCAGACCAACAAATGTACATCGGATGTCATAAAAAGATTCTAAAAATTAAACCAAATAGAGGTGGGGGAAGATTCATGGGGTGCGAGGACTTGAAAAGAGTTAATCCCACAATTCCAATAGTTGATCCCACCAAGGCTTACATTCTAAGAAGTCTTCTCCCACCAAAACTCTTTGAATCAAGTCATTGTATGATCCCAAAATTTTAGTGTCCATTTTTTCTTTGAAGCTCAAAGTCATGTTTTTAAAACACCAAACCAAATCAAACCAAACCAAACCAAGCCAAACCAAGCCAAGCCTTGCCTTAAGTCCCATCAAATGGGGTCGGCTACATGAATCCTTCTTCTCCACGCGGGTTTGATGTCGTGTTTTTAAAACACAACTTCAAAAATAACCTGGGTTTGGGAAATAAATTCAAAAGTACTTGGATGTGAGAAATAAGTTTTTTTATTCACGTGGGTTTGGTTAAAACTCTCATCTTATATTTGCATCTAGATGAAGTCTTAGATAAATTATGTCCACATTTCAATAATCATGATTTGATCCCTCAAGTTGAGTGGGAACCTTCAAAATAATTCTCAGTTGTGTGACATCGGAAAATATTGAAGGAATAAAAAAAATGCTTCCAGCAACTGGAGAGGAGATACTCCCATTCAGGATTAAAATTTGTGATAGGGCTCCTTGGACACTAGACTTTATTCGTAGTCAGCAAATGAAGAACCTCTCCTTGGACACTAGGCTTGAGGGTCCGTACAGGAGATTCCTTGAGGGCAACTTCTATACTACAATTCCTTTCTGAAAGTTTTATTACTTCTGTTTTGGGTTTTATTTATTTATTTATTTTTTGGTTGAGGGTGAGAGGATTGGAGGGAATGTTGTGACTTCATTCCCAGATATGTTTTTCTCAGAGGATGTCACAATCCCCTTTTTGCTACATCCTAGTTTATACTTTTCTGCTCAAGAAATTGTTATGAGAATGAACAGGATTAAGGTTTGAAGTGTAGTTGAAAACTATAGGCACTAACATATTGGAAAAAGGTGCATGATAGGCTTGGTTCTAAAGGTGACTTGAGTAAGCTGCTGGAAACTTATAAAATTTCAGCAGAATTTCCAGACAACAACTATTACTGGGTGTTGGTTTAAATGGTGAACTAAAAACGTATAGGGTGTAAGCCGGTAAGGAAAGGATTAGAGTTAAATAGAAAAAGTAGACTTTTGAATAAAGAAATCAAAAAGACGAAATAATTCATTATGTTAAAGATGAAGCTTCCCTATGATTTACTCATGAATCCCTCAGGAAAAACACGCCCTAAAAAGCTTACTAAACTAGTAAAAAATTGTTTATACAAATCTATGTTTAATTGAAACTTGGAAGAGTAAGCTTCTAGATGTCCACCCTAAAGAGTTTACTAAACTAGTAAAAAATTGTTTATACAAATCTATGTTTAGTTTTTTTTTTTTTTTTTTTTTTTCTAGATGTCCACCCTAAAGAGTTTACTAAACTAGTAAAAAATTGTTTATACAAATCTATGTTTAGGTTTTTTTTTTTTTTTTCTTTTTTTTAGATAGGTAAAAATCTATGTTTAGTTGAAACTTGAAAGGGTACCGAAATATTTTATAAGCTTCTGGAGGTCTTCCTAACCAAAACTAGGATTTCAGAACTTGAAACTTATAATAACTAATAGTAAGGTAAAGGTTCACCGGAGAATGGCAAAGCACGTTAGACACCAATACCAAAAGGACGGCTGAGGGAAGAGACGGAGCAAGCTAGCTAAGACAGAGAGAGGTAGTTGAGTGCTAGAGCTCAAAATACAGAGCCCAAGGAAGCCATATTTGAAGGTGATGTATCACACACCTTGTGATGTAAGAAAAGTACCTACTATATATAGAAGGTCACTCACGTAGCCATAACTAATTGCCTCAAGTTTTGGGGATTCTCTTAAGATTTGTTAGAGGACAATTAGGTGTTAAGATTTGTCTTGATTTCTAAGATTCCATATCCTAACTCTCTGGTGTGGTCACTCTCTTAGCAGGACTTCCCCAGGGTAGTTGTACCCACCAAAGAATAGTGTCAAGACCCAGAGAGCAAATCCTCCATCTCTAGCCTTCAAGCCACAAGACGCCTCAAGTCCCACGATACATGATGAAGACTTTAATGCACCTGGCCCTTGCCTCTTGGCCTACGTAGAATGGTGTGATATAACACCAACAAGATTTAGAGCGGTGCAGCAACCCAAGTTAAATGAGTCGTGTGGTACCACTTATGTGGTAATGGGGCATAGGATTATGAATGTCTATGTTATACAATGGTCTAAACTCCAAACTCCCCTGGGATGTCAGATTTGACAAGGCTTCACAGAAGTGAAGTTTCAGGACTTAATATATGAGATGCTTGCAAGTACATTGATCTTACTCAATTACAACAAAACACATGGACCATTCATGTGTCCGTCGAAGGCTTTAACAGTCTGTAAAGCTTTATTGGGTTCTTCCTTGTATGTGAACCCTACCCCCTTTTTCAAGAGAAAGGAGAAAGGATAAGTGATCTACCAACATAAGAATGAAACTTCTCAAATAGAAAGCCTTCCCGAGAAAACTCTTAAGTGCTTTGATGTTTAAGGGCGCCAACATCTCTAGGATAGCTTGGGCTTTCACAAGATTTGGTTCAATTACATGCTATTGCATCATACACCCAAAGAATTCTCCTATGGTAACTTGAATGTTTGACATTGGGCCATTAGAGATTTGACAACATAGCACTTTTATGGAGATTATATCCATGTGCCATAGAGTGAAACAGAAACTCCAACTCAACACCTAAATCTTGCCCAAATGATATAGAAAGAATAGTATAGTTGAGAAGCAGATGAATAGAGCAGTATGGAAGCAAAGGTGCACACTTGCTGATGATTATGGAGATTCAAAAATGGCCCTCTATTCATAGGTGAGTTAAGTAAACCTTTACAGCACTATGAGGTATATAGTAACCTATATTGGACTCTTGTACGTATCTAGAGGTTGGACAACCTCAAATTTAAGGGTATGTGAACTCGGCAAAAAAATGTTGTATTTTTAATCTATTATATGTAACATCTAATGTCAAAAAAGTATTTTACTCCTTTTATAGAAATTATACAATAGTATATACATATAATGATATTGTTGTTAAATACAAATACAAAAGATATGTCCAATAAAAAGTATTGGACACATATTCCGAACCCTTGTCCAAGTTTTGGGCGTTTGACACAAGTATTTGATTTATTTCGAAAAATCCATGTACATAGATCTTAACACGTCCAACTAATATAAATTGAGCTCTACGTGTTGAGCATCTAATCTCCTGAAAGTGGACTGACCAATTACATTAGGCTCATGAATTATGAAATACAAAGTGGGTGTTTTTGGGGGTGAATCATTTCATTTCCGTTACATATTACGGAGGAAACAAGAATAATCTTTATGAATTCAACAACATAGTCTCTAAATGAGTTCAACATTCCAAAAAATAGATAAATAAATAAAATGGAGAATTGGTGAACACACAGCTGTTTGCATTGTATAATTTTGGATCTCCAGTACCATTCTTTGCTGATGGAACTAAATTCACATAAAAGAAAGAAAGAAAGAAAGAAAGAATAACCAACTAGGAGAAGCATATACCAAAATCTGGAAGAAGAAGAAGAAAGGAAAGGAGAATCCAAACAGAAGTCGAGAACAGCGTCTTTTCTACTGCCAATTCCAATGACTTCCACAAACTGGGGGGAATCTTGGAAGGAATTCTGAGGAATTGGATTCCCATTCATCGAAGAAACTTTGTCCCAACTCAGTGACACTCGGAGGAGGAGAGGCTTCAAATTGGAATTCAATCTTGCTTTTTTTAGCAAGTTTATGCGATGATGAACTGAGTGACTGTTGAAGAAGAACCATTTTGAAGAGAAAGGGTGGTACAGGGAGGAATAAGTGACTTGGCGGAGACTCGTCGAATCCATAGCAAATTAGCGGACTTGCTTTGCATCAAGAAATCAGTTTTGAGGGCACTTGAGGAAACCTTTTGGGTATAAGGGTATCTCCAAGGGTTCTGCCTTTTTGTTTCACCGAATTTGAGGGTTTTGTTTGAAGCTTTGGCTTCCTCTGGGAATGTGTTATTTTAGTAAATTATTTTAGTTTTTAGTTATTTTAGTAGGTTAAAATTTTTATATTTGAAAAAATGATTGGATTTTTTGTGATTGGATGTGATGTTTATGAGAAAAAAAGTAAAATAATTATGAGTTTGATGTGATATTTTGTCTTATTAACTATTTTAATCTATTTTGTCTTTTTATAAATTTTAGCCTATACTAGGCTATTTTTTTTCTTCCTAACACCCCCAAAAACCACCGATTCACCGAGCGAATGATCGGCCGATCTAGTGTAATTATTTTATAAATTTGGATAAATTATAAATATGTTTTTTAAGATTTGCTTAAAATATAGGCTGTTCTATGTAATTTAAAAAATTATAAATATTCTTTTGTTAAAAAATTTTATTTAACAGAATCAATTGAAAAAAGAAATTTATAATTGCTCTTCTATATAATAATATTAATTGACTTGATAATTTATTAATAAAATATACAATTTGTTATGAAATTAAAAATCTCAGGGGTGAAATGTAATTTTTAGAACTACAGGGAGTAATTTGTATTTTAATCAAACCTCAGGAATGTACTTATAATTTATCCTATAAATGTTTATCTTGTGGTGGTCATTTGAGAATATTTGGTGGTGAAAATTTAATGGCAATAAACAGTAATTTAATGAAAGTTATATCGGTCCTTAATTCGATAAAAGATTTGAAAAATCTTAAATTTAATGATAGATTTGATGAACCGTTAGAAGAGCAAAAAATAAGGTAGCGTTTTGGTAGACTTTTAGAAATATGATTTGAGAATAGAGTTATATTTTGAATTTGTGAGTTTTAGAATTATGATTTGAGTATGAAAAATTTGTTTAGTTTTGAGTTTTGAATTTTTGATGTGATGTATGATAGTTGATTCAAAAACCATAAATGATACCGACTCTTTTTTTTTTGGACACCCACAGACACATGTCAGCCAGAAATATAAGGGAAAAAAAAAACAAAAACCAAAATTTGGCCAATCACAACGCATTGGGGGGTGGGGGTTCCCCAAAAATGGGATCTCAACCTTTTTCCTTCAAAAACTTACAACTCATAACCAAACACACAACTTAAAATTCTATTAAATGCTCATAAAAAATTAAAAAAAATCAAAAAATATTTTTTATTTAAAATATAAAAAAAAATAACAGGTGTCAATTGTCAAAAGAAAAAACGAACGCTATTCCGATCAATCGGCCGGACATCCGGGTAGGCCAAATTTCAAAATTCAAATCCTGCCTGAAAAGTGTTTTCAAAAGTGGTGTAAAAATGTATTTTAAAAGCTCTATCCAAACGCATAGCTCAAATATGATGTGAAATCATAATTAAGACTCCACACAAAACACAAGTTTTTTCATTAAATTTAAATTTGATGAACTATTAAAAATGGTCTAACCAATTTTGTTTTCTAGTTTTTACTCTTAAAAAATCCAACAAGACTAGCGTCTCATATTTTACCCCCACAAATATAATAATATATTTATAATGATGTAACAAGGATACTGAGTCTTATATTATTGAGTGTTTAATCAATTAAAAATTAACACTTACTAGATATATGATTGTGAGTTGAATTGTAAAAAATTTGTGAGAGTCTTAAATGTTTTTTATAAAAAAACTGTTTGAAAAGTAAAATTAGCAACAAAAAAAAAATCAATAAAAAAAGACAATCCGTTCTCTTTTAATTTTTTATATATGTTTTTTTTTTTTTTTTTGTCAACAATTGGTTTGGATGTTAAAAATTATTATCAAAACGAATCTTAAATTGTACTAATAGAAAAGTTACATTAGATGTCCGCTCTATTAGTCTCAAATCTCATCACACCCTAAAACTAAGGCAAATGCCAAGGGTCTTATCGGGGCCAAATGTTGAAATAAAAAATTATTGTATACATTGTAGTTTATAGTTGCCTTTTTTTCACGCATTAATTTCTTTGTGGAGATACAATTAAATTCCATTTGGATAATGTAGATTCAAATAAAGAAATTTGATGATAGATTTTATAAAATATAAGAATTAGCTATTACAAGTAGATAGCAAAATTTTTTTTACTCATAAAATTTCATGGGAAATAAGAGATTTTTGGTAAGAGAAAAATTGATGATAAGGTTGACATCAAAAAGAAAGGGGTATTTTACAGATTATGAGTGGGGTCCAAGAAAAAGAGAAGAGAACAATTTGGGTGGTAAGGATCAAAAGAAATGAAACGTCTTAAGAAATTAATGAGGACTAATAGTTCGCTTGTTTTTATTTTTCAGACAAATACTTGATTAAACAATTACTACATATCTTATTTCGTTTATTAATTGAAAATTTTACCTCGAACTTATTTAGATAAAGTTGTAAGCATATATTTTGGTTATAAAGCCTACATAAATAACCTAAAAAAGTAATATAATATTAAAAAAATTATTATGATTGTATTTTTATTGATATAGTTTTCTTTGGTTGAGTAATTCTCCATTGCATAATATCCAATTACTACCAACACTTCTATTACCATGTACACATAGAGGTTATTGATCCAGGTTATGTACTTATAGTGATTGAGACAACCTATTGGCTAAATTATTGTCAATCCTATATATATATATATATATTTGAATTTCTCTCATTTAGTTATGATTTTCTTTTCTCTATGATTAGTGAAAGTTGTTCTCTATGGTCACTTATTAATCGCAAAAAGTTAGTGAAATTTCACTTGTATTCCATGATAGCAGCTTCCTCCCATCGGACCAAAAATAATATATATACTTATTTAATTTTAAAGGATACTTTCACTATGTGATCATAAGGTTTGTTCTAGATCTTTTATTAGGACAAAACATCAAATATAATTAATTTTTATCGAGAAAAAAAAATTCTAGATCAAAGATTTATATTAATAAATTTTGAGTTATTACTCTAAATATGAATAAAATGTCAGGTGCTATATCAAGCTCCAACCATCTCTATTTAATTAATGTAGTGAAATTGAAAGTCAATATATTTCTTTGAGCGATTTCATTGTCCTACAATGAATATATATTATTATTATTTTATTTTAAATAAAATTTTATACTCCAGAAAATACTCAGTTTATCATAAACTCTTGATTTGTGATACTTATATGATTTAATATATTAATCCATATATATATTTTTTAAAAAATTGAATTTTAATCATATACATTCTTATTTGTTGGATCTTTTATTTATAGATTTTTGTACTAGAGAACTTTAAAAATAATAAAATTTTTGTGGATAATTATATCCTAAATATAATAATTTAAATTTGCGAAATTGAATTCCAAAATATGAAAATAAAGTCGGTGTCTGATATTAGATCAAGCCAACTAACAAAACTATTCATATAAGGGTATATAATTCACCAACTTTATTCAAAAAAACCAAAGCCTGTATTATTCTTATGATAACATATATTTTAATTTCGGGAGTGACTAAAACCAGAAAGTGTTGTACTATTTATTTTACTATCTTCACTAATAAGTAGGAGTTCGGGGCAGGTCAGGGTTTTACGGTCAGGAAATTTTTTAATTCGTTATGGTTATCTGTCAAATGTTATGGATTAGAGAAAAATTAATTTTCAATCTATTTGTATTTAAGTCATGGCGGATGTGTGAGTTGAGCGCATGAAATTGCGGATTAAGTGCGGTTTTAAAAAAATTTTTATAAATTTTTAACAAATTCAATTTATTCACTTCCTCAAAAAATAAAAAGATTACAGTCATAACTAAAAGGATTACAATATTGCCTTATGAAAAGATCATTAAAAGAAAGAAAAGTTTTGTGAAACTAAACAAATTATTCAAAATAAAGATATATAAAAAAAAAATTCCTAAAAGGGAAACAAGTAAATAGAGTTATAAATCATTCACAATCACTGCAGATCATCCACATATTACAATTACAGGCAATGCTCATCCATAATAAAGTATACAATCTGTGTGATTCTTAAATATAAAAACAATTCAAACCACAGAAACATAAACTCTATATAATATAGCAGTAGTTAAATTGTATGTATATGTATTGTTACATCTATATCTGTTTTGAAATAAAAACTAACCAGGCATATATTATCTTTTTTATTTATTATTTTTTAGAGTTAGATTTTAAAAACAAAAATTATAGATAAATAAAATACTATATTTTTTAATTCAGAAATATATTCAAGTTTGAAAACTCTTTTTTCAAGAGAATATATTTAACGAATATTTAATTCTTTTCAATTTGAAAACACATAATAGAATATCTTAGAATAAGTGATGAGAACGAAAGTCTTACAAATTACATAGAGCGGCTTCGCGGTTTGGAATTCGGTTTCGGCCAAAAGGAACCTCAAATCTACCATCTGTCCAAAACTAGGCGGATTGGAAAAAAATCAATGCTGTGCACCGTTTGCTCGTCATCCTTTTTGTTGGAAAAATGGCTTTTTTATTACCTTATTTTGGCTAATTTTAAGCGATTAAATTAAGGTGGGACCCAAGCGTTATTTTTAATGTTTCTAATTAGGTTCATATTTAATGTCGCATAGTGAATAAATTCATATATTTGGTTGCTCAAAACCATTTCCGGATTAATGAGAATTCAACGCGCGTTTTCTGGTTCGTGGAACTAGTTTTGGTGGGCTTCTTACACATTTGTGAAATGTGCTTGTCCTACAATGGAAAGGCTTGAGGTTTTGAATGAGTTTATATACCTTAGCTTGGAAAGCTTGGGATACTTGGGATGGGCCCCAAGGGGTACCCAAGTTTGTGGAAGGGTGAGATTATGGGTGAAGTGGACTAGACCCATTGAATCCAAAATTAAAACCACACGCTCACGCTGCCACCGCCGTCCGTTCGGTCGGACTTGGGTGCAGGTGTGAGGTTGGGCTTGTCCGACCCAATATCTATCTTTTTGGGCAAAAACTTTTGTATTTTATTTTTAATT